TACAAATCTTTTTGGGTCTAGTTATAGCTTGTCGATTGCGTTGCTTGACAGTCATAATTGGGTTATGTCCTGTATAACCAGTTTCCTTCGATTTATGCCTTCTGCGTTTGCGTGGTGGCGGATTAGCCACAGCTTGTGTAATTTCCGAGAAATTAATGCTTTGATTTTTACGACTCACATTGGAAGTATGGCGGATGTCCTGTATTTATCGTACTTTCAAAATTATAGAAACCCCTGAAAATTTGTACACACAGTCACTTGACTGCGAAAACTTAACCAAGTCTCTATAAACTTCTGCAATTATTCGCCGGCACTCAACGCTTTATAGCTTCCTGTACAGTTTCGGTTACTCTTTTGGTAAGTACGAGCAGTTTTGTGTTAGCATTTATAGAGAAGAGGTTTTCGATTACTGGCGATCACTGGGTGAGTACTGACAATTACTGGACGTTTACAGGCGAAAGTTGTTGTCATTTAGCTGTTGTATAGCAATATTGGCAATTTTATTGTGCACAACATGATCAAAAATATTAATGTTGAAGGATAGCTTATCTTCATTCTGATGGCTTTCGGATTTGCCGTGTTACAGTTTGAATGTTGGGGAATCCCTTCAAGGGGATGCGTGGATGTAGAAAGATTCTTGATCGTAACGATATGGCATCACTCGGAAAAAGGATTGTATGTTACAACTAAGTAAGAAATAGAAAATCTCACTAATAAAACTTTCTTGTAGTTACATAACTCATATTGGCACAAAGGTTACTTTATTGTAGCTTTTGAACGTTCGCTTAAGAGTATTTTGAACGGCGTTCTCCTATTGTCGTTTTTATTACTTATGCTTGGCTATTTTGTGGGGGAGGGGGGTTTAAGGTGGAATTTGTCAATTGTAAACTAAGTGTCTATACAATCATTTGTCATCTCATGACTGTCTTCTTTTTTTTTTGTGCACATTCTTCGCTTCTTTGGGCCGCAACTTTTTTCTTCGCCTTGCTTCTTTAATGGTAATGATAATGCTAACTAATGTTGTTTTAAAATTTTTTAATATTTAAATAGTCAAAACTAATGCAAAATCGTCATTGCAACTTTTTTATTAGTACACGTAGTCAGGGGCGATGAGCCGTCTTACCCTTTAGAAGAGGTGATACCATATTTGGTAAATTAGTATTTCATATAGCCATTTTGAGACTACTTGTCAACCTCTCATTAGTGACATTTAACAATTATAATATTAAAATCAGATCGTATCATATCGAATATAAGCACTCCAATCTATCAAGAGATAGCATATTCCTCACTCAACGTGGTAAATCGAGCGAATGAATTCATGTTGCTGCTGTTTACCCTAACTAATGCCTTATTTGGCAATAGCTAATGAGCACCATCATCCCAAACATTTCCAATTTCCAAATCTGTTAGGGGCGATGAGCTAGTGAGGGCGACCAGTATTTGAAGCGAAAAAAAAGGCATGTTTCAAAAAGTGTACATTTCCTTTACACACTACTCTATGTCCCCAATGCCCGAGTCATAAAATCGTTACCTAGCTGAACTCTCGCATGTCGCAAGTCTTCGTCCCTCCTCGCCAAGTCCACGCGCTTCTTCAGCCTGCTCTCCTCGCCTATCAGCCACTTCTGTGTCCTTTCATCCCTTGCATCAAAACTCTCTCCACCAAGGTCCTTGTCCCTCAACTCTTTCAGCTTCACTCCTCTGCGCTCCTCATTATTAAAGGTCTCTAACTCCGTGTCTACCTTATCAAGATTCACCTTTGCCTCCTCCAGCTGTTGTTGATACCACTCGAGCGTAGCCATGGTAGAGCAATAATTTTTTAAATGACGAACTTTCTAAATCTTTTAATCTTTTTACAATGTGACCAATGATAATCAATGCGCAGAAATTTCGCTCTAGTGAAATCTATGCTACATATCATTGATAATATTATTAACACATTCTTCTTCACTCCTCCTTCTTTTATCTACCAATCTTCTAATTGTTGCGACCATTTTTCTCGATAATTGGTGGTGAAGGCCTTTTGGAATAGATGTGATAATGCCTTTTTTTCCCCCGCGCGGTTTGTGGTATTTTATAACCATTTTGTTAAATACGTCTGAGTCCGCTCAGAAGTTTTATCAAGTAAATTGTTAAGACTCTCCCACAAACTTGGTAAATATTTCCGCCCAACGAGCAGCTGATATTTTGATTTAATTTTATTGCTTTAAAACGCGTTTGAGTTATAATTTGGACTTGATTGTAGCAGTAACTCGCAGGTTTCAATAGCGAAAGAGAACATTTGAGTGGGATTGTTGTTGGATTTTTATAGATTATAAAATTATGCTTTCGATAATGCAGGTTGCAATTCGATCGATTGTAATTTGTTTTTTTTAAGCGAAAACGTGTGCTAGTTTTATATCAATTTCAAAATTGCAGCGTGTTACAAAAAAATTTTTGGAATTATATTTCAGCCTATTACTATTGTGTGATGAAAAAAAAAAGCCGAATTTATAATTGTATTTTGTATAATATAGAGAACAAATTTACTTAAGAATAGTTAATAGATTATTTTAATAAAATCTTTCTTAATTTATAAATTAATCTTGGAAAAAAAAATCGAAAAAGTAATTATAAACAAAAAAACAACACAACAAACCCATTTTTTATAAAAAATTTTATTGATGTATTTAATTAAGTAACTTTAAGTAACATATTTAAAAATCTTAATAAGATGACTCATTAAATTGCTGTAAGTAAATTTGTTTCTTGTATAAAACAAGATCATAAAGCTTATGCAAATCAAAAAGACTTTAATTGAAAGTGGTTTCATCTTTAACGGAAGTTTTACAGAGTCTAATGTCTTATGATGAATCGTTTAAATAGCTTGTGTACGCGGTACAGGTGTTGTCCGGATATACATCATATTGGTCATAACTACCATATTAACTGAGTGAAAAATAATCATGACGATCACTTAAAAGTGATCTGATATCTATGCACCATGTAAAATACTGCATGAGGGTTCAAATTTGTAGTGGCTTGCTCCTTTTATGTGTGGACAAAGTCATGAGCTGACAGTTAGCGTTTAAGCATGAAAGAGAAAATTTATGTCTCAAAAATTGTCATCAAATATACCCTTGCGCTTTCCATTTTGCTTGTATAATATATTTGCGATAATTACGACAGCGAAAGATTTGTCTACCATACAAGGAAAACCAATAATTCCAAATACGTTTGTTGATCACTTAAATAGCTTCTGACGCATCGCCCCTCCTATAGAGACAAAAATATTTCCATAAAATGTTGTGTTACGATGTGATAAACTTGACTATCGTTTTTCCTTATATGGCAGGCCAAATCTGTTTAAGAGGTCTATGTATTAGAACTGTTGTTTTGAAACAATTGCTTTGTGCTTCGCAAAATATGGTACCATGAATTATTCCAAGCTAGGTAGCAGCTAACAATAATTACAACAATATTTGTGGAATAAAAAAACCCCTTCCATGAGGCGTATTGTATTGTTGTTAGATAAACAATACAGAAATTAAAGATCCATTGTTTCGTGACGGAAAAATGATAGCCATTAAAGTGGTAGATAAAAAGGGAAGGCGAGATGCGGTTAGAATCAAGATTATAGCTTGCCGAGTTATACATAAATCCGGAATGTCATAGACGAACAAGTAATAGTTAATCAGACAAGCCCACTTGCTGACCGCAAACCGCAACAAAGTTTACTACACTTACCACAGTGTATACATATGCATAGATTATACATAATAAAGTAGATGCCAACAAAGTGAACAATAATACATTATTGTTTAACAACATTCGTCCTGACTCCTTTACTGTAGGGATTTTTTTGGCCAATACTACAGCATTCAAATTAATTGTCATCACAATGTGGTTTGGCACAAAATCTCTTATTAGAAGAACTTTTCGCTTCATAATGTTTGCGCTTCATTAATAAACAAACTATGCCCCGTACGTTCACATTCCGTTACTATTAAGCACTAGGTATTATTAAGACTTGTTATAGACGTTATGAGTTTGCCTAATTTTTACAGGTAGAGCAAACCTTAGAAACAACAATAGTAAAAAGCTATAAATTGTTACTATGAATTAAAGTGTATAGATTTTCCAAAAATACAATAAACAAATTTGTACTCTAAATACAATGTTTAAGACAAGTTTTTTGTGAAAAATGCTTTAATTAAAGAAATTCTACCCATCAAAGTCTTTTCCCAGGGCTTAATCTCGTCTTTTTCAACGTCTTCCAAATACGTTTTGTCGACTACGTACTCCTTAAGAAATAACTCCAATGTATCCAAGCGTTTTTGCAATGTCGTAACCTGCAATGATGAATTACTTGATGAAATTATTAAGTCCGGGGGTAATGAAGTAATTAATGATTCGGAAGACTTTGATGGAGTAGTCGAAAATGATTTGTAAAATTGTAAACGAGTGTGTCGGGCAAAACAGCAGCAATACATCTGGATATAACCCAATGGTTGTAGAGAATCGCTGCCTAATGATAAACGTTTAGCCGAAGAAAATTAATACAAATGAGGATAATCAATCGAATTACATAAAGTTTTGTATATCACCTAATAGAATAGCGTAAAATCCTGTAGCCGTGGTCCATACACCACCAAGTAAACCAAATGCATTAAGTAGCTACATAATACTATTATGTTAGTCAAATTTTACTACAGCGGTAGTCGACAGTCGACATTACTATAAGATCTATATAACATAAAAAATATCGACATTACCGTACGCGATCTACAGGTTTCGTCAAACAAATATAATGTAATAACAGTGTTATTGAGCATACGAATAACTGGTAAAATATGAATACTCTTGCCAATCACTTACCTCTGCTCTGTTTCTGTTTTGCTAATAAAATTGTCAGGTACTATATATATTGCTGCATAAAAATTTTGTGGCATATTATCTATTAAACCACTTTCTATAACAATAATTATCAAATATTGTTATTAGACACGCCGTCAAAGAGAGTTGGACTTTTAAGATTAGGAGTTTACTCACGTATAGTAGAAGTCAAATAATGTATAGAAACTCTTTGTGAATAGCCAAAATCGCTGAGTATCCCGTGTTTATGCTGAATTACTTCTCTTGTATTTCGAGTGTAACGTATCACATGAAGGCTGTGAGGAAAAATTTCATATCCCTCGAAAAAAGACTCGGCCAATAGTGACATGGGTTTGCTTTCTTTTAGTAATTCTTGTTGCGATAAAAACTTTTTAGTATATCACATTTACCAGTAAAAAAATAATAATACATGCAATCAACTGATAATTGACTTAACAGAACAAAAGCATAAAAGTAAAAAAAAGATAATATAAGGCATATCCACATATGGTTATTACCAGTGTCAGTTATATTTAATTCTAAGAAAGACGGTGGCTGCACTCTCTACATGGGAAACTCATAAATGTAAGACAGACCGTCTTTTAATTTTCAACATTATCCATGATTTATCCTTCAAAGTTACCGGATCTTCCTTATCGCCCGTAAAGTTCATAGTAAAGTATGCTCCATCCAGTCCTTCTTTATTACTATTTACTGTTATATTAAGTGGAGGTGAAAATACGTAACTTTCACTCTCTGGCTGTGTAATGTACCGGTTACACGGTCCATCAATCGTATTATCTTTGATAAGAAAAATAAAATTAACTGTTATTCTATTTCCTTTATTTATTACGATGTCAAATACAAATTTATGCTTTAGATCAATTACTATGTTGTCATTGGAATTATAATAATACATATATAAATATGAATACAGCTATAAAATTGTGCACTTACCAGTAGGAAGAAATTCACAGCTAATTGTACAAGCACAATGGTTAATTCTGAACGATGGCAATGGTAAACTATTTACTACTTCAAAACTTGTGGACACAATTGGGTTATCATGAATAACGTAGAGTATAAGAATGCTTGCGTATCCAAGTAGCAGTATGAGAATGAAACTTGAAATAAAAATACGACATAGAAAAATGGATTTAGGTTCAGTTTTGCGACGACGTTTACTAAACATTTGCGCGTATGATAGGATAATATTGTAGATGCCTACTTTTTGTTGGACTCTTTTTATAGTCGATAATACACTACAATATGAACCACCTCTCTATATGCAGCCTGTAATTTGTACAACAGATGATGTTTTGAGGTCTTTATTGTACAACAGATGATGATTGCCATTACAAATTATCTAAACAAAGTAAAGATTATACAAAGAGTTAATTTGTAATATTGGTTACATTTCGAAATTGCTTGTTATGTTTACCACCCATTCATTCGTTTGCTATAAAAATTAATGAACAAACAAAGAAATTTTGTAAAGAAATTGCGTTACACTTGGTGACGTCGTCAAAATTAATAAAACCGCTCTTCCTTTCCCCCTTTCACAGTATTGTCTTCAACTCCAATTGCTATTATTATTTATGAGAAGAGCTCAACTTCTCCTCCACACTTTATTTTACTGAGGTATCATTCCCTAATTCCTCATCACATTACCGCTCTTCCTTCTCCCCTCTCACATTATTATCTTCAACCCCAATTGCTATTATTATTTACAAGAAGAGCTCGACTTCTCCTCCACACTTTATTTTACTGAGGCATCATTCCCTAATTCCTCATCACATTACCGCTCTTCCTTCTCCCCTCTCACATTATTATCTTCAACCCCAATTGCTATTATTATTTCAAGAAGAGCTCGACTTCTCCTCCACACTTTATTTTACTGAGGTATTATTCCCTAATTCCTCATCACATTATCCATAGATTGGATATCTCTATCGTTTAACATCCAACAATCTACATCAACGGAGCATTAAAAATGTTTCGACAGCTATTTGCTTTATTGGCAGTAATTGTTCTTTTGTTTAATTTACTGGAAGCTGCCCCAACCGCCGATACCGATATCGATTTTTATTTCGACGACCTTCATTCCGACTGTTATGAACGCATATGTCGCCCTGGTGTTATGCACGAAGATTCTTATTATCATATTCAATGTAACTTACAAACGTGGAAGTGTAATCAGAATAGAGATAAATTCATTCTTTGTAAATTCAGAAGTCCTGCTCCCATTCGAAATGATCGGGTGTATTGGGACGCATGTCAAAAATACTATTCAAAATTTGATGCGATATATATATGTAGCAAACAGCATATGCGGTGTGTTTTGAAAAGACGACCCTGACTGGGGAGGAAAGAAAAGCTCTTTTTGATTATATGTTTTGTTTGACCCTCCCAATTTAAACCTTGCGTATTTTATTGTCAATAATTAATATAAACCTAAACGATAAGGAAGTTCAGATGTGATATGTCTGGAACATTCGGAATAACTTGGCTCCGAATAGTATATCTACATTTCTAAATAAAGAAAGACTAGCTTTAATAAATTCTGAAAGTTATTTCAACTCTGGTATCCTTCTAATCAAAATTTAATGAAACTAGAAATCATATCTTTGGGGGGCTGCGCCCCCTCGTGTTTATTTTATGTGAGACTGGAAGATTTATAATTTAGTTCTTTGGCCTTTACCATAG